TCTGGTTACACTCGCTGAATCTTTTCAGCGCTTCAATGGGAGGTATTGGTGGCACTATACGTGCTCTTAGAGTACTCAACAGGGTGGTCAAGGGCATATACACGTAATCCAAACCAATTGTGTACATTTCCAAGGACCGTCCAACAGAATCGATGACGAATGCGTTCGGGTGAGGCACGTTCATCAGATCAATGTATCGGCACACCTTGTCCGACCACAGCTCGAAATCATCACCCACCTCCAGTGTATGCGGCAAGGGATGGACATATCGCGAAGCAGGCTGATTTGACTGAAAAGCTGGAGCCCTTCTTTCAGCTAATTGATCCACCTCGTTGGATGCTGTCTCTTTGACAAGCGAAGTGTTCTTGGAAGCCTCATTGGGTCGAGACTTGGAAGAAGAAAGTTTTTCCGTTAGCAGGCTCGCCATTTATGTAATCCCACTCGTCAAGCAATGATCTGAAACAGAGAGCAAAGCGCACGTTAGCAGCGTGATCACACAAGTGTTGCGTGCTAGTAAGAACGAAGACTCAAGGTCAAGTATTATATTTACAACCAATCGCAATACAATTAGATAAGAGGGAAGGGGCACTCCCATTGGTCATTCGTTGCCTCGTCTTGGGTAACCAATCCCTGCATACTTCGCAGCCAACCTGAAAGTAGACAAGCATGGTTTGAACATTAGAAAACCGCCAAACTTACCATGCCTTACAGGACATTATATTAAATTGGCCGCTAAAATTTAGCATAACAAGTTCTGCTAACCAGTTGCTTTTCTCAGGACCACATCACATAACTTTGTCACTAATTGTTCCATTACTTAAAATGATTAAAATATTTATGCAGCAAATGTTTTCTTGCTTGACCACGCTTGTTTCCCTTATAACACTCAATTATTGAGCCGATTGTATTCTTTGATAATACGAATTATAATATTGATTATACTCTTATCATATATATATGATTTATTTTATTTTTGATTACAGCTTGATTTCACACCATATTTTGGTGGTAGTATGGAATTTTCAGCATGGATATCGGTAGCCCAAATTTTGCAGGCTGACCATAGATATCAGGTGTGCGTCGGTAGGTGATCGAACCTCGGAGCATGTGCATGGTCGGTGAGAGTCCTAACCACTATGCCACCAACGGCTCCCTGTAGACTAGCTACCCTTCTTCAGTATACACACACTGCAGTATTGTTAACCAAATGCTAAAATTTTGTTGGTTCTGTTAATATCTTTTTATAATATGTTAAGACATATTATTTTGCAATGTCGAATGTTTACTATATATAAGACTGTCATGATAATTTAGTACACTAAGTCCTGTCAACCGACCTTACCTTCAGTTCATATTACCTACATTGAACCCTTGCCATAGTGCTCTGCTGAATCTTGCTCCAATATTCACAAAACCTATTCTTTTTACTCTTTAAGGTTTTGACTTCTTATAAAGTAATCGTTCATTAGGAATTATGAGGTACGAAAATGTCTGGTACCAGCAATATATTTGCTGTAGCTATAATAATCATAGTCTCAGAGCCTCACATCAAAAAAGGAGGGAAGGTGGCGCTAGCTGATCAGTAGATATGGTGGTGGTCACTAAGGTGAATCGCTCCATTCTGCAGGAGCAGCAATATGTAATACAACAGCTCAAGTTTTTTCTGATTTTTCTGAGAGTTTAGATCTTTATCTTGAAAAAGATAATGATGGACGCCTAGACAGACCATGCTTCTGCCTTTAAATATGTGCCATTCGCTCTGCCTATTCTTGAGATTCTACTCTCAAACCTGCATGGAAGTTCTAGGCAGAAAGAACAGACAGGACAAACAGTGGCTCACTACGGACACTTGGAAACTAATAGAAGAGAGAAGGATAGTGAAACAAAAGATTATCCAGTGCACCGAAGAGCAACGAAAAAAGGGATTGAATGCAATCTACAATACACTGAACAGAAGAGTAAAGAAGAGTGCCCGTGAAGACAAAAGAAAATATTATGAAACCATGGTAAGTGAAGCAGAACAAGCTGCAGGCAAAGGAGACCTCGCCACACTCTACCAAACAACTGGGAACCTATCGGGCAAAAGTTCGACACAGATAAAGCCAGTAAAGGATGACAATGGAAAGTCAATCGCCAAAGAGGTGGAACAAAGAAAACACTGGGCTGAACACTTCGAAAGACTCCTAAATCGACTGCCACCTACAACGTGCCCAAGGATACCAACAACAGAAGCAGAACTACCAGTGAACATCGACCCCCCGACGAAATCAGAGGTCCTGAATGCAATCAAAATGTTAAAAGCCGGAAAAGCAGCAGGACCAGATGGAATCCCGGCAGAAGCATTGAAAATGTACCCAGAGACAATTGAGTGACCTCAACTCGAGTTCAGTCCTGGAGGTAACAGCGAGTCGCTTACCTACTCGACTACAAAGGAAGTGGGTGAAGATAAGCTCTCGTATAGAGGATGAAGGTATTGATCCTAAGTTCGATGACATTCTGAGACTTGTAAAAGATAGCGTCAATCAATCGATGAGCAAGTTTGCTAGTATATTGCATCTCACCTCTAGAATAGAGCAGTCTGAGAGCAAAACGCAATCATTTATGACGAAAGGGTCTCAGAGGAATGGATATCGAGGAAGCTCTATGGTGTCTAGTAGTCAATATAAACTTAATGAGTGTAGCAGGTTTCGTGGTACGTACTCAACAGACAGGTTACAAGTTGTGATACAGACACAGTTGTGTTTAACGCGTTTGCAAGAAGTGCATACAAAGGTGAACTGTGAACCAGTGAGCAAGTTCAATGAAAGCTGAATGTGATATCAAGGTCTGGCTCCGAATTGTGTGACGATAACGGTGCGTTGAAGAAGTCTGTAGTTGTAACTGGTAGGCCATTGTTGAATAGAGTGTCACAGAATAGAGTTACTGCTTCAGAGTGCAGTTCTGACTCCAAAAGTTTACAAGGTATAACTAGTCAGAGTGAAGATATTAAACCTTTAAGGATTTGTGAGGAGGGACCAAAATTGACTACTTCTGTTATTAAAGAGTTTGAAATTGATGAAATTGATGGTAAAGTGAATATTCGTGGTAATGATCATGATAGTGCAGATTTGTCTTTCGTTGATCATGATGAGATGAGGGATGTCAATGGAGTTGAAGATTGAACGATCAATTCTTGGTTGTTCGCTTAAAATCAACTTCCCCAATTTTCGTGGAGGCATCAATACGACAGTCATCGTCTCATCGGTCGCTGTTCAGAAAGAAGAGTGAAACATCGTCAGAAGTAATACAATGATTTATTATTGTAATATTTGTTTTCAGAACTTAGTTCACTTATTCTTTTTATATGTTGGTGTAACAATAAACAAATATCAAGCGGCAGATCGGTGTTTTGGCTTTTGCGTCCGTTGTAACTAAGCGTTTCTGAAGTCTTCAAGGAACAGCGTGGGCCCGAGCGTAGCGAGAGCTGGGCATTAACGGTTTATGAGACGTGATTGACAAGGGATATGCCTACTACTGCTAAGTTGAACAAAGGTTAAACTATTTGGCGGTACGTTCGAAATTGTTGACATTTTTGCACATGTTTGATGTGAAATTTATTTACTGCTTATTGTCTTAGAATTCTTGAAATTATGGTCCAAATATCTAAAAAACGTGTTCGTAGAAACACAGCTGTTTTAGATAGTGGCTCAAATTCGGTTATAACTGCATTACCGCCTGGTAATACAATATCAACTACTAGCTCTCAAAATGGTTTGAGTGCAGATCTCACTCCTGTGATACAGGTGAAAGATGTTCTGTTAGAGAACTCTGAGTTCTGTAAACTAAACCTCCTTATGAAAGATATGCAAAGGCAAGTAAGTGAAATTCAGAAAAAATTAGATCAGTTTGATAGTATGTCACTGCCAATCTCAAGTACCACGGAAAGCCGTTCTGATATTGGCCAGTTTGTCTTTACTGGATGTAACTCAAAACAAGCTTTTGGATTTAGACCCAATAGCCTGCCCGTTAAAACAGCATCCCAAAATATCTCCAGACAACCTAAATAAAGCTGAAAATCTGATTGACTGCTTGGCTACAGAGGTGATGAAGCGTATAACCTCTTCTCACCAAGCTATAGTTTACAACGTCCCAGATTCTCTGCCCCTGAAACACAAAATCCTGATTTGTTGCGGCATGGCTAGTGTTCCATGTGAATGCAAAAGGCTTCATAAAAGGTCTAACCAGGCTAATTGTCCCATCATTTTTAAATTCAGTAATTCCCTTGATGCTAGTAAGTTTACTAAATGTCAGGATCACTTAAGACTGAATAGCAGTTATAATTCTATAACCGTAGCTCAGGACAAAACACCGTGTCAGCGCAGAATAATGCGTAGTAATAACCTGGTCGCCTCCTCTAGCTTTGATTTACCAAAAAAGGATCGTGCACAGCAACAGACACCTAGTGCTGAAACTAGCATTCAGCAAACTACACAGCAACCACACCTGCCAATGGAACTGGGAACTGATTTAGATACCAGTACCCTTGTAAATAAAGCCTCATCGAAAGATGTTAAACTAGTTAGAACTTCTGCAAGTTGTTCTAAGAGATTTTCCCCCAAACGTAGTAACCTCACCATGATTCTCAAATTTTGCAGGGTTGAGACTAATGATGGGGAAGAATACTTTGTATTCAACAAGCCTGCTGAGAGTAAGAATGCCAACAAACCATCACTCGTTACGAAAAACTCCTCTCGAATCATAAGTATATCCGGAGGTGTTCCACATGCTCCACCTTATAGAAAGTCAGGCTCCAAGACTCCTAAAGTCTTGCAGCCAAAGCACCTTCCTTCACAATTCCCTTTAAGTTATAAAAACAACCCGAAGGTGTATACCGGTATGACGAATAGGAGTTGAATGGGTAGACCTTTTGACGCTATGGCTTTTAACCGTCAACCTAGGCCCAACCCCTACTACCCTTATATCCAGGAACATATGGTAAATTTTCCAGGTGTCCCGAATCACTGGTACGACCAATGGCACCAAGGACCACCTCATTGCACACCAACTCCGATGTACAGACACCCAGTCCGACCTCCTTTTCATTCATAAATTCTTGCGTTGCCGACGCACAAATAAATTTAGGTTATGGTGACATTTTAAGCCAGTTTGTAGTATCTCGTGACTTATTCACGATATTGCTAATTAATGCACGTTCCTTAATCAATGAGGTATCTGAACTAAGGACATTATTATTAGTCGCCAAGCCTACTGTAGCTCTGATTACTGAGTCATGGTGCTCATCCTCTGTACTTGATGTGCATATAGGTATCGATGATTACACTGTACACCGTGCAAACAGAGATTGCAACCGTGTTGGAGGATGTTTCATATATATACATAACTCATTTGTAGTCAGTAAGGTGGAAGATGAAATAATGAATAATGTACCTGACTCACTCTGGGTTGCCTTACATGGAGGTAAGTACAATCTGTATCGCACTCTGTATCGCGGTACGTTCAACGTTTGCGTTGCATTTTTACGTGATTCGTTACATAAAATTTATCTTGTTGTATTACTTGCACAAGTACTATACTACTTCCATACTTGTAACCGCTAACTTCCATTTCTAATAGTTATGGTTAATCAAAGTAAAAAGCAACGAACCCAATCCCCTGTAAAACTGGTGTCTAATATAACATCCTTTTTTGCTACATCAAGCAACACACCCCCTACAAACGGCTATAGTGTGTCACATAACTCACTTGTATGCTGTAAGCGTCGAGCTGGAACTGAGGATAAAACTGTACTGACAGCCAGTATTAGCACTACTCCTAAAAATTCGGTACCCTCTGCTCATACAGAACTCCTCCCTTCCCCTTATGTGCTTATGGAGAAACTCCAGCCATCAAGCTCTTTTTCAGTACTATCTTCAGAAATAGAACTTCTAAAGTTGTCTATAGGAGATCTTAAGGCTGAGTTAAGGGAAATAAAAAACAGTAAGTCAGTAAATGCTGGAAACATCGAAACCAATACCGAGATATCCAAATTATCAGATCAGATCAGCGATATCAGATCGCAGGTCTGTGAACTGACACCTCTAACTATCCTCATGAAAACTGTAAACCTTAACAAGCTTGATACAGAATCGGTAACTAAGGTAGATAACCTCATTAACTTTGTTACCACAGAAGTAACAAACCGACTCGACGCAAAACTGAGTGCTATTGTCTACAACGTTCCGGACAATGAGGCACTAAGAAAGGTACAGCGCATCTTACTTAGTGAAGCGAAAATGCCTAACCCCAAGACTAAGTGTTACAGGCTGAAGAAGAGTCAACATGAAAAGTGTTGTCCTATACGTTTTCAGTTCGAAACACCGGAGAGACCAGAAAATTCATTCACTCCCAATACACCCTATCGGAAGCCAGAAACTACGAACATATAAAGGTCGGGGTGGACAAAACAGTTATAGAAAGGCGCGCATACAATTATCTCGCTAAGACTAATTGTGAAATAGGTACTAGGACTTTGCAAGCAGCCATTATTCCCAACCCTGTGAAAGATACAGTAGACCCCACCGCATCACCCCTCTCAAAACACACAGAAATATCCCATCAGGGTGCAACACCAGCCGAGAGGCCACTAGACTGTAACCAAATAAAAAACGAAACCATACCACCCATCACCGCAGAATCTAAAATGCCACTAAATAACCCCAGAAAAAAAGTTAAAACCCCCCGAAACTCGACTTTGTCCTCTCCTAGTTATAATTCCATTGGTAAAGATAAGGAAAATATGCCCCTAAATCATACAAACAAAAACAGTGGCAGCTTAAATAAGCCCACATTCCCCACGGTTAATAGTATTAGCACTCACAACGTGCGAAATCGCACCGTGGCACATACTGATATCCAATGTCACAACATTGTCACCCTCAGTAGTACAAGTGGTAATAGTCAGAACTCGGCTACCAACAACTCAGGGTCTTCAGAGTATGGCACACAAACAAATTTCGACCGGATATATGGTACAAGTCTGCTGAGAGCTAACCCACAATGCAGTACACGTGAAACCCACACAAGGACACAACTAGCATCAAACAATAGGTGGAATAATAAGCCATGGTCATCACAAGGATCCAATCATTTTTTATTCTCCGCGTCCCTGTCAGCGTTGAAAAATCAGCTGGTAGGTATGTTAACACTCCTAAACCACTAGTGCTGGCTCCCTCCTTGCATGAAAACAGGAACGGTCTAGTGCACCCGTATCCGTTAAGCACACTTGACGCCTGCACAAGTATAGGCCAAATAAAGAACCCTACCCACTTCTGTAACCTAACTAAAAATAAAAATTCCTTGGTCTATAGCAAATCCAGTACTCCGACTCCTAATTCTTCACCGAAAACAACACACACCAACTCGGTAGACATAGGTGAGCATGATGCTGAAACTCCTCTTAACATAGGATCATCATGTCAAGCAGAACTACTGGGTGCTGAACCATATTCGGGGCTGACTAACGAACTTAAATACATCAAATGCTACTTCAACTCTCATCTTTACCTAATCCTCATAAATGCTAGATCTGTTCTAAATAAATTGCCGATGCTCAGAGCACTCACAGTAATATACAAACCCCCTGTAATTGTCATCACTGAATCTTGGTGTCATTCGGACATCCTGGATGATGAAATAAGCTTAGATAACTACACACACTTTCGGTGTGACAGGGAAGGTGGTAAGGGAGGGGGTTGTCTCATGTACTTTCTGAATGAACTTACTGTATCACAGCTAGAAAGTAGTACACTTAACATGCCTGAGACTCTATGGGTTAATGTACACCTAAATAACGTAACAGCACTAATTGGATGCTCCTACAGAGCACCTGGCACCTTTAGTAATTACGAGACCCAACTTATTAATGCTCTGGAGCAATTAAACGATTTACAATACGATCATAAGTTCCTATGTGGGGACTTTAACTTACATGAAATCAACTGGGATATACCGACAGGCCCAACTAAATTTGATAAGTTCTTGGGCACACTGGATATACTTGGCTGGAAACAAACTGCCACTACTCCCACAAGAGGTAACAACGTACTAGACTTAATCTTCTGCCACAATATAAGCCCCCTATCAACGCTAGTAGGTTCTGAGGTTCCAGAGAGCGACCAAAAAACAGTGATATGTGCACTGCCACTTCCGCTGAGTATCAATGAATCTCATACCAACATTTGTTAATATATATTTCTTCCTGTTTATGCAGGAACATACCAATTGTATAGGCATGGATAAGTTATTATATAGATACACATAATTTGATGTATGATGAATTTACAGTTTGGTTGTTCTCTCTGACATCAAAGTCAGTCGGAACAGTCTGCTATAAAGTCTGTTTGTGTAGCACATAAAGAGATATAGAAATATTGTCTTCGCATTAACAAAAAACCCAGACATCACATGAATGTAATACGGATATCTGGGAAAAATAAAGCTTGAAGTCAATTCTCCTATATAACTTTGTTGTGAACAGCACTCTTGGCTTAAAGATTATTGATGTATTATGTTGAGATCAGTGATATATTTATTCCATTTTTTCAGCAGTCTTATCGTAGTTTTATAACAGGAAAGAAATTTGATCGTGGATGCGAAAACTAGATAAGGTCATGTTGGGTTGTTTTACTGCATCAAATGGTGCCGAGGTCGATTCCAGAATCCTCCATTTGCTCCACTTGTGTCTGCATGGCGGACTGTATTCGTAAGTTGAGTAAAGTGTTGAAAAACTATTTGAAGACCAGTTGCTTCTTCATTTCAGATCATGAATACTCCTTTACAGCATGTTCGCCAGCGTCTTCAAATGGTAGAATTGGATCGTTCGTGGAATTTGAGTGGTTATGAGATAGACGGTTTGGAATTAATCCTCATTTCAGTTAAGATGCAGGGTTGTTCGACCTCGACCAGAAGATGAATAGGAGCAGCAAAATACCAGAAAGAGAAAGTATATGAACATGAAAAGGACATTTAATATTTCATGCATATATAAATGTTTATCTTAACTGTAAATTATACCTAAGTAAACATTTTTCTATATTGTATTTGTTTTCACGTATTTATGCGAAGTCTTAGAGTTTATTTAATGTCATGATGTGTATTATTGAGTCTAAGCGTTTTAGTGTTCAAATGACTGATGCGTTTTAGAAATAAGTCATATGTTCTGGTAGGGATAGTCATTTGGACTAAACAGTTTATATAGCAAGCGCTTGAAGGTTACAATAGCGTGACAGGTCCTATTTCTGAGGATAAACTATTCCCGTATCTTCCGCACTAAGTCTTTATGTATACATGCTACTAGTTTATTTATAGTTTTCAGATTGCAAAGGGTGTTGAAGTGCGTCTTTTAGGTGCTGTAGTAGATAAGTGATTGATTCGTTCTAGGAGTAAATAGTTTATTGATATAGTCAGTAGAGTGAAACAGTCTATGCAGAGAGCGTTTGAAGCTTGTAACCGAAGAGCAAGTTCTGACATCTAGGGGCAGGCTATTCCATATTTTAGAATACATGACTGAAGAAGTTTTCACGGAGTGTTGACCTAAAAGAATGAGTTGTCACTGAGCAAGTTTGGTTACGCAGATCGTAAGAACCTTCCTGTGCGAATTGCATGTCCCTGTTACCTGAGAATGATATTTTGTGAAGGACCTTAAAGAAGAATATTAGGTTTATAATAAGTCGCCTTGTCCAAAGTGGGTCAAGTTTTAGGATCATGCACCGTGAGATGTAGTCTTTCTTACAATCGTAGCCAAGCAGTTTTGAGGTAAAATATCGTTGGACACTTTCCATCCTTAGCTTGTCGCGTGTGCGAGTGCTGCTTATAATAAATGGACAGTATTCTAGTAGTGGTCTGACACATGTTTTGTACAGAATTAGCTTGGCTTCATTGTCGTGAAAGTTCCTCAGTATGCATCCTAAGAGCATCCTCGATTTTCTAGTCTGTGATGCTACTTGCTCTGAGAATGTCAAGTCACTAGAGTACCTCAAGCCTAGGTCAACGACACTTCGGAGTCTTGTTAGGTTAGCAGATTGGAGCGTTAATTTCAGGTCAATTGAGGGTGCACCGAAGCAGATCCAGCCACATTTGTTCAGATTAAATTGGAGATTCCATAGGGACGACCAAGCAGCCATTTTATCTAATTCCTTCTGCACCACATTCTCGAGGTACCCTAAGTCATCATATTGGAATGTATAAGCTACTTTTAGGTCATCTGCAAAGATGAATGGTTTCCCGTGCGTGAAGCAAGCGCATATGTCATTGATGTATAGTGTAAA